TTTCAACTCCCTCCAAAGATTTTCTATGGGGTTTAGATCTGGAGACTGGCTAGGCCACTCCAGGACCTTGAAATGCTTTTTACGAAGCCACTCCTTTGTTACCCGAGCAGTGCGTTTGGGATCATTGTCATGCTGAAAGACCCAGCCACGTTTCATCTTCAGTGCCCTTGCTGATGGAAGGAGGTTTTCACTCAAAATATCATGATACATGGCCCCATTCATTCTCTCCTTCACACGGATCAATCGTCTTGGTCCCTTTGCAGAAAAACAGCCCCAAAGCATGACGTTTCCACCCCCATGCTTCACAGTAGGTATGGTGTTCTTTGGATGCAACTCCGCATTCTTCTTCCTCCAAACACGACGAGTTGCGTTTTTACCAAAAAGTTCTATTTTGGTTTCATCTGACCATAGGACATTCTCCCAATCCTCCTCTGGATCATCCAAATGTTCTCTAGCAAACTTCAGACGGGGCTGGAGATGGACTGGTTTAAGCAGGGGGACACGTCTGGCACTGCAGGATTTGAATCCCTGGCGGCGTAGTGTGTTACTGATGGTAGGCTTTGTTACCTCTGTCCCAGCTCTCAGCAGGTCATTCAATAGGTCCCCCCGTGTGGTTCTGGGATTCTTGCTCACCGTTCTTGCGATCATTTTGACCCCAGGGGGTGAGATCTTGCGTGGAGCCCCAGATCGAGGGAGATTATCAGTGGTCTTGTAGGTCTTCCATTTTCTAATAATTGCTCCCACTGTTGATTTCTTCACACCTAACTGCTTACTGATTAGAGATTCAGTCTTCCCAGCCCGGTGCAGGTGTACAACTTTGTTTCTGGTGTCCTTCGACAGCTCTTTGGTCTTGGCCATAGTGGAGTTTGGAGTGTGACTGTTTAAGGTTGTGGAAAGGGGTCTTTTATACTTATAACGAGTTAAAACAGGTCCCATTAATACAGGTAACGAGTGGAGGACAGAGGAGCCTCTTAAAGAAGAAGTTACAGGTCTGTGAGAGCCAGATATCTTGCTTGTTTGTAGGTGACCAAATACTTATTTTCCACCATAATTTGCAAATAAATTCTTAAAAAATCAGACAATATGATCTTCTGGATTTTTTCTCCTCATTTTGTCTCTCATAGTTGAGGTTGACTTATGATGAAAATGACAGGCATCTGTCATCTTTTTAAGTGGGAGAACTTGCACAATTGGTGGCTGACTAAATACTTTTTTGCCCCACTGTAACTCATTGACTGCCAGAGTTTTTTGAGCATTTTGACTGATTTTTCAAGAGCCACAGAATAGTTTGTGCTATGACTATGTAAACAACGAACACACCAAAAGAAAGAGTAGACTCTCTTCTTTCATCAGGAAAAAAAATGTGTTTCTACCTTATTCCGTTCTTCCTGGACTTGCGTCTCACCGGCGACATGTTCTCTCATAGCGAACCGTTAGCTCTTTCTTATTTGCCTACAGTCTATGCTCATCTCCCATCAAAAGTGGCACTGCCACCTAGAGGGTCAATTTGTTACTACATACTCTGTCTAGAAGCCTGATATTTACGGACAAGCTTTAGCAGATCGTCCCCCAGCCACTCTCGCTGAAAAACATAAAAGACCTCTATAGACGTCTTTGGCAGCCAATGAGTTAAACAGAGAGCTCTGACATACGTCAACTTTTTCTTGGCTTACGTAATTGAAGCAAGGGTTGGACCATGTGAGAAAAAAAAAAAGAAGAGGGGGGGGTAATGCCTTGGAGTGTCTTTCCACGAGTGCTTTCTACCCTGTTGTGTAACCGGACCCCTGTGGGAACGAGCCCGCTCAGGTGTTCAACACCAAGGTGGAGAGAGGGGACAGTTACAGAATGAAACGCAAGCAGTTTTTTCTTTTTTTTTTACCTTGTAAAAAACCATTGAGAAGGCCTAGGAGACGGACTCTGTGCTAGCTCAGTATTAACAACCTGTGTTGGGTTTTTGATGCGTTTCGGTGTGAGGATGTGAGGACTATCGGCGTTTTGATCTGGATCTGACGCTGCTGTGGTCGGATAAACACCGGCTTATCTCAGACTGTTCTCACACTTATCCCACAATCAGACACCTGATATGTGGAGAGTTTCCTGGACTTGTCGTAGCTGTTGTAAACAGATCAGATTATCCCAGCTGCCGATGGTTCTGTCGGTGTGGACATCCATCTGTCACTAACCAAAGTGGGCCCGCTCTGAGCTTTAGCATTTAGCATTACTTCAGGTTTTTAGACTAGCTTCAAGCCTTTTTTTTTTTTCCCCTTTCTCAAATTAACCGAGTCCTTCCTCCGCTAAGCAACGGAGA